GGGACTTGCAATGACCTCGGCCAGTTCCTTTAGAACTCTAGGGTGGAGATCATCCGGACCGGCTGACTTGAATACATCCAGCCCCTCCAGAAGCTCCCTAACTAAGTCCTCGCTAACCCTTGGCCCAGGTGTGCCTCCCCCAGGGCCCGAAGGGGGCCCAGCAGGGAGGTGGCTGTTCTGGTTCCTACTTAGGAAGACGGAGGCAAAGAAATCGTTAAACATGTTAGCTTTGTTGTCTGGTGTGACAACCAAGTTTCCCAACACGTCCTGCAAGGGCCCCACATTACCTGGGACCTTCTTTTTACCCCCTATGTATTCAGAAAAAGACTTCTTATTGTCCTTAATCTGGGAAGCTAGTCCCAGTTCCATCTCTTTCTTGGCCTTCCTAACTACCCCCCTACATCCCCGAGCAACTGCAGAAGTTTGACTGCCTTCTCACTAACTCCCCACAGGGAAAGCTTCTGAGGTGACAGATCAGTGCAGTTCTAGCATAAGCTCTGTTGCAATTTAGAAATGAAGTAGTGTGGTTCCCAAAGTTCACCTAGGTCCAGAGGGAAGGAGGGTGGGAAAGCCAGGAGATCCTCCATTGCTCCCAGCCACTGGGAAGCCAGTGATGGCCAGGAGGAGTGGCATCCAGATCTGTGAAGGGAAGTGAAGTGTGGGGAGCTGAGGAGGTAAAGGTGACAGGAGTCCATAGGAAGAGTTGCAGGTGGCCTGTGGCCACCAGCAAGACAGCCCTGCCAGAATGCATCACTGAGAATAAAAGCTCTACAGTATTTTCCACAGGATTAGGTAGTTAAACAGATGATGAGAACATCTGCACTTAAAATAAATATGCACACAGGAGTAGCAGGGAGTGATGGGCAAGAGGAGGGGGCAGCAAGGGCTGCCCACACTTACCCACCACAGAGCAAAGAGAAAGCCATGGCCACTGATATGGCATGAAAGGGTAGAGACATCTATTTTCTCACATTTTTATGGCAGCACAAATGCGATATCAGGAAATATATATTTATATCCTAGTTGAACTGAGGACAATTTGCTGCACTCTGGGCTCAGCCTCTTCCAACTGAAACGAAGGAACACTTAGCCTGAGTTTAAACATTTATTTGAGATGTTTAAAGCTCTTTACATACACTAGCTAAATAAAATTTAAAAAACCTTTGAGAGTTAAGGTAGTATTATTTTACCCATTTTATAGACAAGAAAAATAAGGTACAACAAACAAATAATATGACTTGAGCAGATCTCAGGACCTCTTTGTTACATCTTCCTAAAGGCATTTCTGCATTCCGTACATCTTTGGCTTTGAAAAATGATTCTGGAGCTTGTTAATGTGACAAATCCAAACCATGACACTTACATCATAGAATTTCTTCACCATCTCCATCTGCATTTTGTCAAAGATGTCAAAATCTTTTTCATCAACCATCTTATCCCGGTACACACGGTTTGCCTCATGCAGGTAGAGCTTTACTAGGTCTTGGGGATGCTTCAGACATTCCGGGGTTGAAAACAGAATGCCCTGTGTAGAAGACAGATATAAAGATCAACTGGATTCATTATCAAAGCTCCCTTGTGAACATAGGAGACAAGCTGAATTCCCAGCTTCTACATCTGGACTAATGCAAGGAACTATAGGTGAATATTTATTAAATTCATGATTATTATAAGAACCATGGGATCAGACTGATAATTCCATGGCCAAAAAGCCCACAGGAAATGCAGTCCTTGTTATCTTTGGTTTCTCAGTCTGCCTGCAGCAATGTATTTTACATTACTTTTGCTTTGTTCTGTGTGCATAACAGACTTCAAGCACTGAAGAGCAACCATGAAGAAGTAGAGTTGATAGTAAGTCATAGAACACATATGATCTAAATATCAGAACAACAGCACCAGAATCCAAATAATACTTAGGTCTTATGCAGTAGTTTTAGTTAATGGCCCACAAAGTACATTAAAAAAGCAATCCTCATGGCAATACTCTGTTTTAAAGACAAAACTGAGGCACAGTGAGAGGCAATCATTTACTTAAGGTTGTCCAGAAGAGCAATAGCAAAACCACAGCTAGGATTCAATTCTGCTAGGGCCCCAATTCAAGGTGTTATCTACTAAACTACCCTAGCTCCCCATGAGAACAACCCAAACACACAAAACCCTTTGGAGAAGAGAAGTCAGCCAATCAGCTTCCAAACTCAGGCCTCCCTACTTTTAGGGTATGAGTTGCAACTGGCATTTCCTTCCCTGGTAAGGTTTTCAAGCCCCAGTGAGCTCAATTAATTCACCCAGGCAGATACATTCCAACTGGAAGGTGCTCATCTTCAAAAGGAAAAACAATCTGGAAATCTCGGTTTTAACAATTTAAAAAAATAATTATTTTAATTAGACATATGCTGTCTAAAAAAGAAGCATTCATTGGTGTCAGCTTATTGTAGTATATTTACAATGTACCCTATTAAAATTCACAAAAGAATTATGTTTCAAAGAGATGTTGCCTATAACTAAGCCTATTAACAATACATAAGGTTTTTAATTACATGAATTAAATATAAAACTAATTATTTATACATAAAATATAAAATGCATTAAAAAGTGACATAAAGCATTCTCTCTCTACTATCTGATGATGGTTTGTTTTGTTTTTTAACATTTAATGAATGGAAAATTATCTTTTTTTCTGAACAAATACAAGTTCAGATAATGGCTGGCAACTTCATGTTTTAAAAGTTTCTATGCAGTGTGTCAGCCTTCTTGTGCCCTCTGGCAGATACCTTATACTTTCATCCAAATTAATGCATAGTAACCTAACAAAAACATTACTTTCATAAAGACGTACTTAATTGGTTGATTCATTAATTTAATAACAGAAACTGTCTTCTTGCCATAAGACAATCTGTGATAGTGCTGTCAGGTACAAATGTCAAAAAAGAAGTCATATCCCAAAATAATCATGAGATAAGCTTAAAGGTTGTTAAGATTTTTTTGTAATTTTTATTAGCAATACTTGTATTGTGATAAAACCTAAGGGCACCTATACACATGTCCAATGCCTGCTCCAACACATTCTAATTAGAATATAGTTTCATAGTTTCTAGTTTCTTAGTTTCATAGTTTCTAGGGTCAGAAGGGAC